GTGTAAATTGGTGTATGAGAAAGTTATCCCAGCATTATTAATTAATCTTGAAGTTAATATGTGTATTCTTTGTGTTTAACATTAAATAATTAATTTGTAATTGGAAGTGTGTTATTAGTTTTTGATTTTCTCCGATCCTGATTATTTAACAGTAATAATATTAAAATAAATTCAGTGTTTTTAAATAATTGTTATTTACAAGATATAAAACATCTGCAATTAATAGTATACATGTACAATAATATTTAATACATGTAATAGAGATCCTAATCAATATTAATTAATTACGTATTAATTAATCACGTACAATATTAATTACGTATTATGAAAATAAAAATCGAAATAGTGAGGCAGGTTATGACTGTTCATGTGTTGTGTACAAATGAATTCCCCTTCCAAAGAGACGTTTCTTCGCAGTAAAGAATGAGTGTGTCATCAGAATGAATTGTGTCGTTGACGACAGTTCTGTATCGGCTATGGCCACGAAAGAATAAAATAAAGAAGTAAAATATTTTAAACGTGCTCACTTCGCAATAATTGATAGAAAAGTGAATGAAGAGCAAGATGTAACCGAGTGTCATATATGATTTTCAAACTTTGTCGTAGATTGGTGCTCCATAAAGATTGCTCTTTATTTTTTACTATTATTTTTATGATATCACTTCGTTAACTTATTAGTGTGTTAATTTCATTATTTGTTCGTTATAATTTCCTATTCGTTCAAAAGGAAATAATTATATATCATAGAAAAGATCGGGAAAATTGTTAAAAAAACATAAAACATAACTAATTTATTATATATTATTTCTGGAATTAATATTTTGTGTTTGCACATAATACATTTGAAAATAGAATATCATGATACGATTGCTATCATCTATTAGTTTTGATGCAAACTGTTTTTTAATGGTGGGCCCTTTTAGCGGTACCCTCTGGGGTGCCATATGTATGTACGTATAGCCAGACCTGAACCCAGTCAGCACCAAGCAGCGCGATATCCCAGCGGCCATGTTGTTATTCAAACGACTCGGATGTATTGAATTCTCCCAACCAAAACTTTTCTGCGAAGAAGTAATATTTCGACAGGATTTCTTTTGCATAGTATTCCCAGAAGTTTAATCTAGGTCGGTACGGAGGCCGTTTTTGTAAAAGTGGGACGCGAAAAATTTTCTTCTATAAGAAATGTTAGTTTTCAGTTCATAAAATTGTTTTGGACGAAATTGCAAAATCGGCCTCCGTACCGACCTAGATTAAACTTCTGAGAGTAGTATGCAAAAGAAATTTTGTCGAAATATTACTTCTTCGCAGAGGAGTTTTGGTTGGGAGAATGTGTGTTTTGTCGTAGCATCCTATTTACCGTCCTTGTCTCTCCTAACCAAAAACACAGTTAGTAGACAGAGAACATTCGACGAACTTCACACCGCTCGATCTAGTGAATTTCATTACGCTTAAAAAAGTTTTGAATACAATACTTCGAACTTATTTTCAATATGTTTTTTACTATCAACAAAACATAATAATGGTCTAGTTTAAGAACTGTATAAAAAATATGTTTTTTTTCAATTCCAAAATCGGGTTTTGTATGGCTCCAAAGTATTGTATGAAGAATATCTCTGAAAAAATCGGAACTAGAATCCCAATATCTACTGTCGCCTTTTCTGTCTAAAACAATTCAAGATAAACAAGATCGCTAGAACTTCCCATTTCGTCGTCATAAACTTTCATTAGATCTGACACAAATGCTAGGTAGAAATGAACTTACTGAAGTTAGTCGAGTTATGCAAAACTAACCATGTTCCCGTATGTTTTCTTATTGAACGAATCATAATTGTAACACGTGCTTTTTTGCGGCAAGTGTAAATCAGTAAGTGTAACTTTAGTTTAACAATAAGTGTCTCATTATGGAAGAAAACAGGAAATCTCGAGTTATGCTTGAAGAATATGGTATACCTAATGTGAGGATCTATAAAATACATATTAAATATATTCAATTCAATTACAAAAAAATAATTAATGTCAACTTTATCTTTAGGCTTCTGAGTATACCAATTATCAGTCACAAGACTGGAATTTACATAATTTCAAAAAGGTAAGATGTTTATTGTATTTAATGTTTTTATTGAACTATATAATTTCTTGTTTGAATAATCAATTTAATTTTATTATTTTGTTATTTTCAGGAATTTAAAATACAGGTTGTCAGAGAATCTGAAGATGAAAGGGAATTGGAGTTTGATTTAATTGGTTATCCGGTTGGTTTAGCCAATGCTTTTCGTAGAGTACTTTTGAGTGAAGTACCAAGTATGGCTATAGAAAAAGTTTATATTGTAAATAATACAAGCTTACTTCAGGATGAAGTTCTTGCACATAGGTAAATATTACTCATATTTAACCACTTCATGTGAATAACACAATGAATAAGACAACATTATATGGCAAGATGTCTTGTCCATAAATGTGGAGAGAGTAGAAGTTAGATTTAAACTATATATTCTAAAAAAATCTAAATCATTTTGAAGATTGGGTCTAATACCACTTCAAGCTGACCCGAGGTTATTTGACTATCCTTCATCCACTGCTAAGGATGAAGATGAAGTTAGTGATCAAGATACACTGAGATACGAACTCAAAGTAACATGCACCTGGAACCCTCAAGCTCCCAAAGATTCTCGAAGAATAACTGATATGTATAGGAACAGTAATGGTACATAATTAACGAGAATTAAAAGTTATTAAACATTTTAGGATATATAAATGAGAGTAACATTATTTTTATAGTGTATAGTAAAGATATCAAATGGGTTCCAATTGGGCGACAAGCAGAACTTTATCCAAGAGGAACAGAGCAATTGGGGGTTTTAGAAAATGATATTTTAATATGTAAAATGAGGCCAGGTCAAGAAATTCATGCTTTTATGCATGCAATTAAAGGAATTGGAAAAGATCATGCTAAATTTTCTCCTGTAGGTAAGTTAAAATATAAAAACTTATATTTAATATTGGTGTATTATGTAATTATGTAATTATTTTCATAAATATAATTATTTGCTTATTTGTGTTTAATTTAGCTACAGCATCATATAGATTATTACCAGATATACAGTTAATAAAGCCAGTTAGAGGAGAAATGGCCGATCGTTTAAAAAATTGCTTCAGTATTGGTGTTATAGAAGTAATTGAAAATAAACCAGGTGATCCAGATTCCCGTGAAGCAAGGGTGAAAAACCCTCGTTATGATAGTTGTTCTAGAAATGTATTTCAACATGAAGATCTTAAAGGATGTGTACAACTAAGTAGAGTACGAAATCATATTATTTGTAAGTAAATGGTAATTTATGTTTTTCTTTAATTAAATGTTACATATATCTTTAATTTAATTACATTGTTCTGTTATTCACAGTTACCATTGAATCTGTAGGAACATTACCACCAGCCATATTATTTACAGAAGGAGTTAAAATTCTTAAAGGAAAATGTAAAACATTTTTAGAAGAACTTGAAAACTTTGGATGTAATTAAAAATATTTAAATAATGTAAATACTTTCCTACTAACAATATTTGTATTAATTTGAAATAAAAGTACTTGCTTTAAATAATTTTACAATAATTGTAAACAATCGTCCGTGAATGTTAATTTCATTTCCTTGCACCTACAATGAACAAAAATTAAAACTAATATTTGTAACTACTCTAATATTAGTGTAATTAGTTACTTAACATTTATAATGTACCAATGTAGTAAGGATAATAAACTAACTTTTATATTTTAAAAGTAATATACAATAAATTAAACTTATAAAGTGACTTTAATGTAAAATTAAAATAAATTTATTTTAGTATTATACATATAATTAAAATTTTCCCTTAATTTTAAGGTTATTTTGTAACTTCATAAATATTCTTTAATATTTTTTTTAATTTTGTAATGTAAGAACATTAATAATTTTTTAAGACAGTTATGAATATTTTAAAATTAACTTTTTAAATACACATAAATTAATTTTTTAACTTTTGAAGATGCACCTACAAGAAAGAAGTTCGAATACTGTTACAACGTAATAATTAATAAAGGAAATATTAATTAAATTTTATCTTTTCATGAGTATTTCATTAATACTATAAACGAGGAAAATCAAGATTTCGAAAGAAGTAGGTCAGAGAAAATGTTAAAGCATTTATATTAGTTCTACGTGTACTGCGATGTGACACCACTGAGATTTCTCTTATTCGTTTGAAATTGTTACATCATAAAGAAAATTTATTCCATGGTATTCTAGTTTTTATTGTTACGATAATAAATAATGGGACTTCGAAATTTTCGATGGAGAATATTATTTATTATCATATTAGTTTTACTTCTCTGGCAGTCATCAAAAGTTTGGTTGGGTTTAACACAAAAGAAATCCGGCATAGAAGGTAAAAATATATACGCCTATGTAAATCTTATGGAACATACCGAATTTTAATTTTTTACTTTCTCGATTGTATTGTATAATAATGTCATCAAAGATTTAATAATATTTTTACTATTGATTATAAATATTCGTAAATTTAATGAAGTAAATAAGTTGAAAATTTGATGACTAATCATAAAGGAAAACTTAATTACTGAATCTAAATATATATTACTGTTTAATACCCAATACTAAATATTAATGTCTAGCAATAAAAACGTGATACATAAGAATTGTTAATTATATTCATACAATTTTCTTGAATACCTGCTAAGTTTTATATAGCACAGTTTCAGGACAACCATCTGGTAACATTAAGCTGGAAAGATGAATGGAGTAAACAAAAAGTCCACATAGCTGTATACTATGAGGCACTATGTCCAGACTCGCGTAGTTTCTTCATTAAACAATTATTGTCAACATATCACAGAATTCCAGATAATGTGCAAGTGGAATTAATACCTTATGGGAAAGCTAGAGTAAGACATTCAATACTAAAATATTTCTTAAGATGTTCGTTACCACTGCTTAATGAGAAAGTTATTCTATATAACTCAAGTTTCAAATTTTTGTAATTTTACGTTAAACTTATTCTCGGATATATATTACCAAAACACACTATCCAGGATTCTAGATCCTTGAGAGTAAACATATTAAATTATCAAAATTATAACTTACTCTCTTTATATTTCTAAAGTATAAAAATAATAACAATTTTAAACTTAACAAATTTTTACAGACCATAAAAACAGATCATAGCTATGAATTCATGTGTCAGCATGGTCCTATAGAGTGTGAAGCAAATATGATCCATGCATGTGCCATAGATGTTTTAAAAAATTCTTCCATTCAGTTAGAGTACTTATCTTGCATGATTAAAAATAATATAAAACCAATAAATGTCATGGAAAGTTGTGCTAAGAAAATGAATATAGATTATAATTATATTTTAAAATGTTTTCTTGAACCAAAAGGCAAAGAACTTTTGGCTAAATATGGAGAATTAACAAATGCTTTAACACCAAAAGTTTCTTTTATTCCAACTGTTACACTTGATGGGGTAAGTTCTATTAATTTTGTTGTTAAAAACAAAGTGTTTTCATTAAGAAAACAATATTTTTAAACATTTGCAAGATTTTTTAACAAGATCTTGTTTTAGCATGTATCATAATACATAATATATTTTCAGAAATCTGAAAATCAGGCAAGAATATTAAAAAATTTGCTGCAGGAAGTATGCCTACATTTTAAAATTCTGCCCAAAGGTTGTACACTGTAAATATATGTAAAATATTTATAAAACATATCTTTCAGTGGATATGTTAAAAATATACTATTTTTTACATTAATTTTGTATACATTTAATAACAATTAAAATTTTTTAAAGAATAAATTTTTGAAGTATCTAGTGTATTTTGTGTATAGTTCTTAAATGGTGTGAAAAGATCGATTTTTTGTAAGTTAAAAATTGTTTGAAATTTAGGTATATCATTTAAACTCAGTTACACTAATATAATTTTCATATTGTTAAGATATGTAAAAGTATAAAAATGAATTTTTATACGCACATCTTGTGAACTAAAATTTTCCTACTCGAGTACTACAGAACTAACAAAAAAAAGTATTTTACATTAGTGACAAGCAACTACACACATGAGGACGGACGCGCATTCCCAGGCACCGTTGAATACGGTAAACTCTTGTTATATTGCCATGGACCTAGCTGTGGGAGCGGGAAATTCTCAGATTTGAAAATTATATAGAGGTCCTTCCATACAACATTTGAAAATTTAAACATCTCACAATCAGTTTGATAGCTTCTCAATTTAAAATTTTGTAACTTTAAAATCTACTTGCATTTCTATGTGCTACAATACAGGAATACTAGTATTGTACGCGGAAATGTTTATGTGAAAAAATTCACTAAAAAAGTTTACTGTAATAATCTAATAAAAAAGTTCTTTCTTGCACTCTTTATAGCTGGATACCCGCATCCATGAATTTTCCGACAAGTATTGGAATTACCTATTACTAGTCTAGATAGTTAAAATAATAAACTAATTTTTCTAAATTATTAAAATTGATAATAATAACAACTTTATAAAAAACTATAAAATCTATGAATTAATATCTGTGACTACGATTGTTATTTTTTATAAAAAATTAAAACAAAATAGTTATAAATTATATATATAAACGAATTACGTGAAACTAAAATCAATTACTCCTAGAGAGTATAGTTATCTTCCTTTTACTACAGTAATTAAAAATCAGTTGATCATTTAATATATGGGAACAATTTATTAACTTAATATCAACACTTTATACAAACTGTATCGCTTCGTCACGCACGATAGGTGAAGTATGCCTTTGATATGGCGGAGAATTAATTATCTCACATACAATAGAAATAATGAACGTACATATTTCAAGTACAGGAGAAAGAAATGTATAGAATTTGCTTTAGCCGAATGGATTATTACATTTATTGGAATTACTTTTCAAAGATAAACATCAAAAATAAATAATTTCTTATTCGCGTCACGACGGAGCTTCATAAATATCGCATTTGAATATTTTATATACTTTTTTCGAGGGAAAGATTGAGAACAAGAGTTACTCTCGAATAGAATTTCAACTATTTTATTTGCAATAAACGAACGTCTCGAGAAACGATCTTTAAAGAAACGAGACCACGATGACGATTCTTTTTTAACGACATATTATATCTCAAGCTACGGTTCTTTTCTTGAGATGCAAAATACTGACTTTTTATTTTTTTTAAACTTAATATCGGCTCTCGGCGCTCGTTATTAAAGAACTCTCGTAAATCACTTTTAAATACGGGAAAAATTATATAATTTAGACTACGTAGAACTTTGCGACACGAATATAAAATTAATATTAAATATTGGAATATATTCTTTTTTTTAACTTAGACTTAAACACTAACTGTCAACGATATCGATGAAACGAGCAATAATTTGTTAAGCAGTTTAAGTAGGGATGTTCTTCGAGTAAAATCTATATATCACCATTTACAAAAGGACTTCGTCGCGATTTCTCTTTCTTTCATTTTTTTTTTCTTTTTCATTTTTACAAAGTGAGAACATTTTCGCCGTAAATCACTAAATTTTAACGTTTGTGTTCACAATAACGATAACAGCTATCAGAACGATCGCAAGTGAAGTAAAATAGTTAAGAATTGTTTTTTTATTTTTCTTTTTTTGTCGTTGCGATTCGTGCGCCTTAGTATCTCTATGGAAAGGCTCTCGAATCGATGAAATTTCGTTTAAGATATGTTAAACGCGAATCTTGTTGACAGTGAATTATTACATATACATTTGTCGGCAAACTATTTCTAGATGCCATCGAAAAATGACGATGAGATAAAAACGGCTGAAACGAGAGGTCCATTGGTTAATGAAGGAAACGAATTGAGTAGTTGTGACCTAAAAATGAGGATACATTTATTTTGTCTTTTTTATGATCAATGCGATCTAGGTCACCAGAAATACAAGTACTTCTCATTTTGTTCACTTCAATATTAAATAATAAAGGACTGTGGAGGAATTCTTTCTTCTTTTCTTCCTTTTTTTCGTAAATTAGTTTTATATATATATATATATATATGTATATATAATATATATTACATATATATTATGACTGAACCACCGACACGCATGTGTTTCCACCGTTCGGTGTTTTGTTCTTTTTTACTCTTAGTTCTTAAGTAACATTATCGTACGAATCGCACAAAATCACACCAGTTTCTCTCCGGTTCTTAGTTGCTCCGCTTGCGAGACTGGTACGCACCCCTGGGCGAAGGAAAATATAGTGCACCGATCACTGTGACTTGCCTCCATTTTTTAATCCCTCATCCCTATGTTCTCTCTGTGATTTCTCTAGATTTTCAACAAAAGTGGTGTCGACGTTGTGTAACGCGCGCGCGCGTCTTTAAGGCTTTCTCAGTTAGAGACAAGATACAAACTTAGATGTGTTCTTATGAAGAAGAGGCTATAATGAAATTGGATACAGAACGCACTTGGTGAAATGTGTTTTTCTTTTCTTTTGTTGTATGTGTACGCGTGTAACATCGTGTCATGTACATAGGTTTCAAGGAGATATAATAAATTTGAAAGAAGTTCCTTTTTTTACTAAGAATTCAATACAACTCAATTTCGTGGATCCTCTAAGGCTTGTACGCGAAAATAGAAGTTTCGAGATTGCATTACGCACCTCGAGCCTTTGTTTCTTTGATAATATTTTTCAGTTATTAGAAGAATTAAATTATTCATTAGGGCGCAATAAAGAATCCAGTACGGAGTCATCGATAAACCAAAAGTTGAACTCTGGAAAACGATGCCCACTTCAAATTTTCTTTGGCAAAATAAAACAAACGCTTAAACATGTTACGTTACTGATAAAATTTTTCTACGACAAATGCTGTATCGATGACGTACGTTATAAGTACGTTTTCTTGAACGAGATATAAACGCAATGAATTTTAAATTCACCTCGAACAATAAACGAATCTATACAATGCGTCTTAAACAGCATGCACGAATCTTTCCTTTCTTTTAATACTTTTCCGTTTTCTTATTTATCGATCACACTTTTGTTGTCAGCGAATTGATTATGAAAAAAAGGAACGAAATTTATAATGAAAATATATATGAAATAAATTGTAGATTCATGCAAAGAAGAAACAGGAAAAGGCTGAAAAGAGAGGAAAGCAAGATAATATATTACGAATGTACTTTTATCATCAACAAACATGCGCGTCTGCTTTTTTTATACATATATATATCTAACATTTTTTAATTATATTCTTTTATATGGAAATAAATCATCTTTTGTTATATTATATGAGTACGTTGTACGTGTGCTGAATATTTTGTGTACGTGCGTGTGTAAACTGTACTGTTTATGTTCATGTTGTCTGTGGTTAAGTATTTTGTGTATTTAGAGATAATGATTTTAGTGGTATAACTCTTTAATTAAACAATTGCCCTGTATTACTTATCGTTAATGATGATTAACGCATGTTGGACGTTGACTTTTCGCGTTTTATAGACATCTTTGCGTCCAGATATAAGATTTTTTTTCACGTTCTGGTCGATTCGCATTTTGTTAACATTATTTTTTTCTTTGTTTCTTGATTTATTTTAATACGTCAACACCACTCCAAGTTGCAAGTTTTTCCATTACACATGTTGCATTCACTTTGATGTCATCATTGTGACAAATTCTGAACAGATAAAAGACAACATTTATAATTCTTACTATAATTGCATTGTTAAAACTAGGAATCTTACTAAGTATCGAGCAAACAAAATTTGAAAGGTACAAAATGTAAGATAATCATAAGATATATATCAAATTTTAGTATACAACCTTCATAATTAACTTGGCCATCGCCGTCAATGTCAGCCTCCCGAATCATCTCGTCTACTTCCTCATCAGTGAGTTTCTCGCCAAGATTTGTCATAACATGTCTGAGTTCCGCTGCAGATATGAAACCATTTCCATCCTTATCAAATACTCTGAAGGCCTCTCTAATTTCCTCCTCACTGTCGGTATCCTTCATTTTGCGAGCCATCATGGTTAAGAACTCCGGGAAATCGATTGTGCCATTACCTACAATTCCAAGTATTTTTAATTTCGATTTTTTCTGAAATCAGATTTTTTCCAATATTTTTAATAACAAATTACTAGTAAACATACACAAAATGTTATTCTCTCATTATGCAAATATCTTGAACATGAAAACTACATATTATTAGAGTAACGTATTAACAGCGCTACATGCAGTATGATGAATACAAAACTTGCATAACGAACAATAACAAAACACCATCAATAAAGCAATTATAAAATAGAATTAAAGCAAATACCATCTGCGTCCACTTCATTGATCATATCCTGAAGCTCTGCTTCTGTAGGATTTTGACCTAGCGATCGCATAACTGTACCCAACTCTTTGGTTGTAATGGTACCATCTCCATCTTTGTCGAATAGCGAAAATGCTTCCTTAAATTCTGCGATTTGTTCTTCTGTGAGTTGGTCAGCCTTTAAACAAAAAATATTTGTTTTATAATACTGAATACATTTAATATAGTAATTGATACATTTAACATTTTACACTATGTAGGTTCTAACACAAATACAAAGTAAATATAGTATGATATCTATTTTACACTTTTAATGTTACTTTACGCATTTATCATATATAGGGAAAATATTAATATACATATAAATTCATGTTAGTAAAAAATATGTAATTCTCATTTTGTTCATTAAATCAATTACATTAAAATATACTATATATTTAATAGCTTATAAATTTTATATAAGTATGAATGTCACGTACATATAATTTAATTTTTATAATTATGCAATTATTTTGATAACTGTTATTTTCAAATATTGGTATAGTGCAAGCAATAATTTATAGGAGTTGGTTACTTGTTACCTGCACTACACAAAAAAAAGATGAAACACTATAAATAAAATTCTTTGCCTGATTTCTCACATTATATAAAATTATATTAACAAAAAGTAAAAGAAATTTATATCATATAAAACATTTTACATAAAAACTCAATTACATTTTATAAAATTTCTGTACAAAATAGATGATTAAATATTTACATTACACAAATATAAAAAATTATTTGATACAAATAAATAATCATGAATTAATTAATGTATAAAGCTGTTTTAGATCAAGTATAACTTCTAGAATAAAACACCTCACAATATAGGTCAAATGTACATATGTAGTATGCACTGCATACTATGCTTTCTTCTATATGCTTTATACAAAAATATCTATTGAGTATTTAGATCTATATTAAAAACAAATGTCTATGAAAAAAAATTATATACATAATTGGAGCAAATGAATCTTGCTTTTTTCTAACAATATGGATAAGAAGATATAATCTTATTTTATTTCAAAATAAAAAAAAAAAACATTTATTCTATTACAGTTTAAGATTTATTTACATTTCAATCTTAATTCTCGTGTATAAGAAGACGATTTCAAGAAGTGAAATAGTAAAGACACGACGACATTTTAGGTTATACGGCGGAAAAATCGTCGAATATGTACTTTCCAATGTGCAATGAAACAATTGAAAGTCAATATTGGAATGTTTTAATGTTTAAATTGAATAGTTTTTTTATGTAAACGGAATCTCAAAAATTAAAATTGCAATTTAAAGTTAAAAAAAGGCATATTATATTTTGTAGCTGGTTCTATAAATGTTGTGTATAAAAATACGGCAGAGTATCGAATTTATTTCGTATTTCGTGAAAAATCAGTGTTAATGAAAACTAATCGAAGGTTGGGTGTGGGAATGTATAAGGGCTACGGGAAATTGGTGCAACGGCGAGAGACCGCGAAAATCAATAGCGAGGTATACCATGTAACGGTCGAGTGTCGAATACTATTCGCTATATTAGGAATTATATAAAAAAGAAAATATAAATAAATAATAGAACTTTCATAAACAAGGATGTGAAATTACTATTTTTACTCAGCTATTTTACTTTTAACATTTCATGAAAATTTTATACGATAAAAATTTTAACAAGAGGTCTCAAATGTTCAATAAGAAAAAAACACCATAAAAAGACATTTATGAAGCAAGAAATTGAATGGAATACATATACTATTACAGTAAATTCGATACATTTTAAATATTTCGCACAATTCGTAGCGTTTTTATTCAGAACCGACTTTGAGTACGAAATCTGCCTGAATGAAAACGAAAATTTGATATTAACGATAGTAAAGTCATGAAATACCCAGAGACATATGATAGTAATTATCTTACAAGTTCGATAATCTACAGATAAGGCGCCTGAATTCGATAAAACTACTTGAATTGACGATTTCATGTTTCTTCGCGCAACTCGATATTCGAACTTATCGTTATACGTTAGCATCGATACTTGACATACAACGTATCACGAACGACGTTAGATCTTGAAAGTTATCGCGTCAACAATCATAACGTTCAATCGGAACATTTCAAAATTTTGATCCGCCCATTCAGCGAATTTTATCAAGTTTGGATACGCGGCATATCGTAGAATCGGGAAAAACGAACGTAGCTGCTGCTGGAGGAGGAACGGATCGATAGTCGGTCCATCTCCGCATACCGGCCATTACGAATGTAATATCGCGACAGTGCGTATGTATAAAAGAAAAAAACGTTGTACGAGATATTTCGATGGCAAAGAATAAACGAGAGAATAAAATCGGTTTTCCGTAAATGCGTATCGGTCAGTTGCACGTGCACTCGGCGCGTCAATGCGGCAAACGAACGTTAAGGCGAGAGGGCGAGGGCGAGGGGCCGGTGGCTCACGACGTCCGCATCAGAAAAAGAGGATCGGTACTTACCATTTTGGCTCGTTTCTACGGTGTTCGGTACGCTCGACGATTTCAAGTTATCGTTCAGGGCACTGGACACAAAGGGATACTTATTCACAATCTCCGGCCAACGTGGAAGGTAAACTTGCGTGCACGAAAGCGCGGACAGAGACACGCAATACGACACAGCCGACGAGAAACACACTCGGGACAGCAATGGAGTCCTCCGTTCTCTCTCGGTGTACGAGCCTCTCTGCCGCTTGTCTCGGTCAAGTATCACTACGCGGCCCCCACCTTTGGCCGATCGGCCGATGGCGTCTCCTGATTGGTTAGCCGCTGAGGCGGGGGTTAAGGGGAGTTCACGCGGCGATGCGCCGCGTCGTTTCCTACGCGATCGACAGATAGTTCCGTGCGGCTTCTCCTCTGTGAAAAGCTTGGAAAAAAACGAGTTGTTTTTAATTGGACAAATGGGAAGAAGTAGGAACGACACGGCATCCGATGTACGGAACGGTCGTCATGGACAACCGTGTAAATCCGCTTTACATGCGGGGTGGGTGCGGTCGTGTTTACAGGACAAGTCCGGGCGAACTAACCAGGCCTGTGATTGGCCAACGCGCACCTGCAATGCGTCAGGCAGCCGCGCGGACTGTGCCGCCGCCGGCTACCGGGTCAAAGCCGGGCTTCCCTGCGAGAGATGGCTCGAATGCAACGAGTGCGTTTTTCGGCTGCGTTTAGCCCTACGTCTCTCTCTTTCTCTGTCTCTCTGTTCTTACTCTTCTTCTTCGATCTTGCTCTCCTTATTCTTCTTCTTTACATCTATCTTTGTTATCATTCTACTCCTTCTCTTCCTTTCTTCCTTTCTCTCTTCTTCTCTTTACCTTCGCTTTCGTATACGTCTACGATTACAGATTTCTACCGTTACTCCTCTTTACTTCATTTTTTTCTATTATTTAAACGGCTATTCTCGTTTTCTAAGTTAATTCAATCTTTAAAAGTTTTAGTCTAATGGAAACACAGATTAATATTTATTGATAATTTATATCGATATTGATCGTGAATTTGAAAATTTTAAAATATGCACTAATGCATTTGATGTACCAACACTGTAACTCTTTTAGTCGTCCAGAAAATCAATCATGAAATTGGCTGAACAATTGGCTGTCCAAACGAGGAAACCCCTTAGGGGGTAGCTTTTATTTACTCTTGATAACAATTTTTGTTAAAGTCCTTTTCACGTCGCTGCCTAAAATAGTTGCAATTTAAAAAGGCTACATAAAGTTTAAAACCTCTTGGATAAGGTAAAGGAACCCTCGGGTTCTTGAACGTTTAAGCAATTGTTTGAAAGTACTCAAAATCGATTTTAATTGTTCTCTAAATTCAATACTTCAATAAACATGTTAAATGAAAATTATAGATTTAGACAAGGACCATTTACGTATCTTATATTTACCTTAGAATTATAGATCTAGACAAGAACCATCTTTTATGTATTTACCTCAAGAGTGGCATTCCCCTTTAATGGTAGCGTTCGTTTAGCAACGTAAACGCGAGATCATTTTCTTCTGATCGACTTTTGATTCAAATCGTTCCAGATATTGTTTCAAATCAAACGTTTAAACAAAATAATAGTTGGATAGAAAACCAACAGTTTCAGAGAAGTAGTGCAACTTTCTCGACTCGGTTTTATACCTTGCCCTCTGGATGATATTAGGTCACGATGGGTTAATGCTTACCGACTATGTGTATAAAACATCTTAAAATGCTTTTGAATATCTCTGGAATTACGTTAACGAATGATTGAATCGTAAATCTGCGATGTTCAAGAACAATTAGAACAAAATGCAAAGCTGCCGTTAGAGGGGCACCGAGCAAGCATCTATTGAAAACACTTATAGCAAACTCTCGTTATATCCGTTCGTACAATTGAAAAATAATTTCAGCAAAAGAACTTGTTGAATGTAATCTGATTAAGATTTATTTACAAGATTTGTGCAGGATAAAGTGCTCCTGTAACCAGTACGGTAACATGCCTAAATGAGTTTCGTATTACTCATATCAATCGTGGGAATGACCAAGTATCTTAGAAAATTGATGACACATAACAAAAATCGAAGGTTTTACTAAATGAATAACAGTTGGATTCAAGAATTTACATTGGTTGATTACGTCGAATGCGATCATTGTATGACGCGTGATACAAAAATGTGAATGACGAGTCCAGGATTCTCTGTACAGGGAAGAAGGAAATGTCTAATGAAATAATTGTTGTTGTTGTATTTGCAATTAAACGTTACATGAGTCATAAATTTTTATTTTTGAAAACAAACCGTTTTATTTCAAAACAAACATTTTTTACATATTTTTATCTTTATGGTAACGATTATTTTTTATAATATACTGTGTATATCGGTCGCATCTTCGTCCAGCATTCGTTTCCCCGTAACTGTGTCTATAACTGACAAATTTTAATATTAAAGTTTTAATAGAGGCGCAAGGGTTAGAAGTACAATTTTAATTATAGTAATACCTTTCCATCAAAAACATTTATGAAGAGAAAAAATGCAGATTCGTAAACTGCGTGCTCTGCGGTTACACGCAGTTATTAACCCCTTCAGTATGCAACACCACGTTGCACACGCGTGTTGAAAAATGCATTGCATAATTTATAACAATAGAAATAAATGAATTTAAGATAAGTTTTTTAGCCATGATCTGAAGTAATTTTACATTTCTTTACTTTTTGAGTTGATTGATAAAACTAATGTAATATTTCTCTCAATTGCCTTAGCCAAATTATAGCTACACTGATAGCAACTGTTATAGTTACGTCGAACACAGATAACTGAAAGTTGAATAAATAGATAATTTTACAACCATAAAGATACTTTTTCATTCAAGTTTAATAAGGGTATCGTGTGGTACAATGTAACATGATGTTACTTATAGACGCGTGACGCGATTAAGTATCTTTGTTAATTTATCCGAAATTATGATAAGTATTGATATTCGTAAACTTCATTCGTATCTAATAGATAATTAACAGTTTCACCGGTGGCCGTGACCGATATGCGGTAACGGCGTCGCACGATGTTCGCGATATCAATAATAAGTGATGAGCATGCGTGCGGCAAAAAAGAACGTTCACGTATGAAGGTTCCTAACGGAAGCGACCGTTCCTCCACACCAATTTTTTGAAAGTATACCAAGGTCGCTTTGAATTTATCAAAGGAAATTGTAACACAGAGACGTACTTATGTACATCGTCCACTAATGCAGCTTCCTGTAACCTATGCGGCAGTTTAGCGAAAATATAAACATATATTGAAAATATAATTTTTAATTGTCTGCTCAGTAAAATTGTACGATAAATATTTGTCCTAAATCATTTAACATCTGAAAAGATAAGTTATAAATAAATTTTGCGAAATTTATAACAAGAAATTTGAAGTACAAAAATTGTTTATATTGATATACGAAAAATGCTTGTTTTATTTGTTCAAGTAAAACGTCATTCACTTGACGTCAATTTGATAGCTACATATCTTATGACGTGTTCTATACCATGGCTTCCGAAACATTTATGGGCCGAGACCCACTTTCCAATACGGTAATTTTTTGCGACCCACTCACTTGTAATACATTACTTATCAAAGACCCAAAGTTCCAGAGTATCCAAGTTCCAAAATTCCAAAGTCCTAAAATTAAAAATTTCAAAATTCTGCAGTCCTAGTTTCGAAATTCTAAAATTCCAATATTAAAAAATTCCCAAAGTCTCACTTTCCAAAATAATCATTTTTTGTGACTCGCCCACTTATATCAAAATGGAGGAAAATTGAGTAGAAAATATCGTTTTAATGCTTATTTAAGTTTCAGTAATTCTGTCGACCCACCCAAAGTCAACTAGCGACCCACCAGTGGGATAGAACCCACACTTTGGGAATCTACTCTACAGCATATTTCAGGAGATAATTACTTGGTAAACCACGTATTTGATACATAAAGTGCCTTGCTAGCAGATGAATTTTCTCTGCTCTTACCTATAAAAAAGAAAAGAAAAATAGATAAACGTTATTACGTGTGACGTACATTTTTCTATCCAGATAAAATTGTTATACGTAATTAAAATCAATCAAAGTCTAATCTAAAATATCCTTTATATTCTATGGTATTATACGGTTAGAATTGCAGTATACCGTAGCCCTATCTGTGCAGGGTCCGTTCGACCAGTATGAAAAGAACAAGAAAAAAAGGGTAAGATGATATAATAGTTGGTCGATTGTATTACGCATAGCCGTAAGCTCTGCAGATGCGTGATGCGCTAAACGTGACGCGGTACGAAGTACCGCAGGTATAACCACGTGCGAATCTGTTTTCGGATATCGTTACCGGGAAAAATCGATGCTCTGACTGATAGAACGGAGAAAATATGTATTCGTGACGCAGTCTCTCGGAGATCCAGCATGCTTTTAAGTATGGTTTTCGAAAAAGTTCTTTGGATAGCTTGCAGTGAGCCTGCGCGCCAATAAACGCGCAATGCGACACGCGATAGAGTAGGATAGGGAAACTCCGTAATCTCGTTAAAAAGAGATAGAACGGGGGATGGAGAAGCGCACAGCGGCGTTCACGATTAACGGTAAGGAAGGGAAATTAATAGGTGTCACGGTAAAAAAATGTTAATTTTGTACCTTATGTTCATCGATACAGTACTTAATTGGTATTTAATTTAACCCTCGATCGACGTACTCCCAGTCAATTGTGATCTAGACTCTAGACCTACGAAACGTACAATGGTATTTGACTGTTTATTTTCACGGTGAATTCGATATAAAAATATGGATTGATTATAAAGTACTTTTAACTGATATAGTGCAATCGAAAAGAAATGTTTATCTGATCTTGTGACGTCGATATTCTTTAAACGTATTTACGTAATTTTAACTATTGACATTATAAACAATAATAACTAGTTTACAAAAAAATTGCTAAAATGAAATTTAACACTCCTGAAAATCAATAGTAAGTTCGTGTAATTTTCAAGTAAAATATATTATAAACCTTTTAAATAATATTTCATTGTAAAAAATACTTCGTTAAAAAATTGCGGGTGCATTTTATGAACATGTTACTATTGTAATATAATGCAATTAAAAGAAGTTTTTGTAATACATTTTATGTACACAATTCGTTTTTACGTAACGTAGAAAATAGCAGTTCTTTTCCAATAATACTAAATTTATCACAAATTAAATTTAGTTTAGTATCATTTTTTTAGT